TCCAGCCGATGCTTTCTGGATGCTGCATTTCCCTCCCAGCCCATCGATGGCCCCGGGAGCGGCGGCTGCGGCCGCCAAAGCCAGCCCGGGAGCGGAGCTGCTGTGCCAGGTCAGGGCTGTTTCTAACAAGGATTTGTTTGACTTCTTCTCTCTCTGTTTGATTTCTTCTCCCTTTCAAGCGTGGTCGGGTCAGCTTTTCCATCTGACGCTGAGCTAACCACTGAATTCACACCCCGTTCGTGCCATTTCCTTTTTTAAAGTCCTTGTCCAGCCTCAGCCACCCAGGACTTCCCCAGCTGCTGCAGCGATGGTTTCTATCAGATTGGGTCGCCAAAAAAAGGTCACCAAAGAAAGGTGTCCCCTTTGTCACCCACATCCCTGCAGAGCCCAGCTGGATTCTGCTCCCAAAAAGCAGCAGAGTTGTTTTGGGTTTTTTTTGTCCAAGGCATTGCCTGGCACCCAGCTGGCCTGAGGCTCCTTCCTCCTATGGAATGAAGATGGAAAGAGTGCTGCCATCCTTTTCCAGGGGAGATTTCACCAGGACAATCACAGCTCAATCCAATTTCAGACATGTCAGTCCCGTGGGAGGAATGCTGAGCATGTCACAGGTGTTGCTGGAAGAAGCTGGTCCAGGCTTGGACCAGCCCACGTTGCCCTCACCTCCCTAAGTCAGGCTCAGGGAAAGGTTGGGAGCGATGTTCCCACCTGTGGGAAGTGGAAACGCCGTGAAAAACATGACATTGTGTGGCTTTGGTGTAAATCTCTGGGGGTTTGGGCTCCTCTCCTGATTTTGGAGCTGTGTTCCCACATCCCACTGGGCCAGAGAGGGAGAACAGTCCCAGAGGGAAGAGGTGTGAGCCCGGAGCAGTGGTGGGGACCTCAGAGAGGTGGAAAGTTCCCATTTGGGATGACAATCCCTGTCCCCATCTGCTGAGGGCAGGGGTTTGGTGGTTGCCCCGTTGTCCCTGGGCACAGGGCAGGGGTTTGTTTGGTGGTTGTCCCGTTGTCCCTGGGCACAGGGCAGGGGTTTGGTGGTTGTCCCGTTGTCCCTGGGCACAGGGCAGGGGTTTGGTGGTTGTCCCGTTGTCCCTGGGCACAGGGCAGGGGTTTGTTTGGTGGTTGTCCCGTTCTCCCTGGGCATCTCATCCTCTCTCAGCTGTCCCGAGCTGAACTCTCCCCCTTCCCCGACACTTCTCCGGGTGCTCACTGACTCATTTCCCGTGTCCTTTGCCCCCGCAGGGGACAGCCCAGCTCAAAAGCTGATTTCACGCCAAACTCCTCTGCCTGAGATTGCGATCAGGGCTGGGCTGCTCGAGCCCAGCGAGCTCTTCCCAACCCTGGCCTTTGACAACCCCGAGTTTAGAACTCGAACAAATCCAAATCCTCCTCTGACTCCTGATCTTTGCCCCCATTCCTGCACTTTCCACTCTCCTCATGATTTCCCAGCAACCTGAAAGGCACGAAACAAGAAAAAGAGAGGTAAATCCCCAAACGCCAAGGAAGATGCTGGTAAAATCCTCTGCACCCAGGTGCTGGGCTCAAAACAAATCCAAACAATCTTCACTGGGGACTCGCTGGGCTCTCTGGGTTTTCTCCAGGCTCCAACCCGAGGCTGGACAGTGCCCATGGGAT